TATTTCCTTTTACTTTCCTCTTGTCCCACTATCATGCTCAGCCTTTATTTGGGTTTCAGTAATTTCTCTCGGTTACATTGCCCTCCATCAATCCCTACCAGGTCTCTCACACCCTCCTTGCCACTAATTTTGCATCACTTGTTGTTTCCTTGTCCCTGGGTTGGTCAACACCACCTCCTTTCCCCCACCTCCCCTTCTCCCATGTCCACCTGGAACCATCGGTCCCATTGTTTTCTCCTCCAGACTGTTCATCCAGCCTATCTTATCTAGATAGATCTGCAGAGATAATAATATGCACCAAAAAAAAGACAGAGCAAAGCAAAGCGACAAAAGAAAACAAAATGATGACAACAAGAAAACCAAAGGCAAAATAAATTAATTAATTAAAATTAAAAAAAATAAAAACCTGTAAATAGTTCAAGGTCTGTTTGTTGACCTCTAAGAGCGTCCTCCAGTCGAGCCTGATGGGGTGCCATGCCCTGGCCCCAAAGTCTATCCTTGGCACTCCCTCGGGACCTCCCTGCTCTGCCTCCCCTGCTGCTCTGCTGCACACCCTTAGTGTTTTGCCTCGGTGTGGTGGGGTCAGACAGGGCCAATCCCGACACTGAGTCTCCAATGTTGTCTCCCATAGGGCCATGGGTCCATGGAACGTGGTGAGACAATTATTTTTAAAACATTTTATGTGATGTTAAGGGAGAAATGAACACAGTAGCTAGAGGGGGAAGGAGGATTGGTAGGCTTTATTTTAAAATTGGAGAGATATTGGTGGGATTGATCTAGTAGAGAGGGAGAAATTGATAATACAGGAGAGGATGGGGGCACCATATTTTTATGCAGGTAAATGGAATGAGATAAAGTGAAAAACTGGAGAGATGGGCCTTAGTTGGGAGGACAGTCAACCCATTGTCCTAAGTGCCTAGGCAGATTATGTGAACATGAATAATGTGAGTGAGTTTGTGGAAGTTTACTGCATAGCATGAGCTTAGAGTGAGAATCGGGGAAAATATATTGGAGACTTAAGGATAAGGGGTAAGATGTAAAAAAGATCCCAAGGAAAGGGGACGAGTCAGTGGAACACAGAGATCTAACATGGCTGTTCTGCAGACGAGAAGGCTCACTTGAGGGAGCAAGCAAGACCACACTCATGCTTTTCTGACTCTGTGCCTAACACCTCATCTCACTTTATCTCAGCCAAAAGGCCAAGGAGCACTCTCACACCTCATCTCTCACAACTACCTTCTGCTATTCTCCACTGTGATTCTGTAAACATGCCAAGCGAACTCTATTCCCGGGCCTTTGCATTTCCTGCCCTCTGCCTGGCAATGTTTCTCTCAGGCTTTAGATTTGTTTCCCTACAGAGAAGACTTCTTTGACTACCCCAGCTAGAATAGCTTTCCCCACTCAATCTACCATATTATTGTTTTATCTTCTGATTAGCATTATTATGATCATCTTGTTTACTATTCTAATAATTTATTATCTCTTGCTCTTCACAATAGAATACAGTGCCGACAAAAAAGTCTGGCATGGAGTAGATGTTCAATAAATATTAACTGTCTGGTCCTCCCTGTGGCAGTCAGATATTATGTCAACTAGATACTCTTGGCTAGGGACAGTCTAACCTGTCAATCAAATGGCAGCTTGAAGAGGCCTCTTTGAGGGTGCAGCCTTCTTATAAAAGTGAGAGAAACAGGAAACTTTTTCAGGCCCTCTGCCTCCTGCCTGTTGGGATGCTCTGCCTCCAGGGGGAGCTCCAAGTGGGCCGCCTGGCCCTGCGAGTTGTTGGCATCCTGCCAGGGTTCCACTGACCTTGGATCCACCCAATTCTGCACCCACTGGCCTGTCATCCTCTGCTTCTAAGCTCGTCATTCTGCATCACCAACATGCGGTTATGTGAGTATGAAGAAGGACTTACAGACTAGCATCGGATTTACGGACTTGAGTTGCACTGGGCTGGACTATCTTCTTGATATATAACTACTTCTTAATCTAAATCTCTTTTTAATGCATAGATGAGTGTCCTGGATTTGATTCTGTGGTCAGCCCAGCCTAATACACTCCCTATGTTTACCATCCAAATCTCTGTCTGTCCTTCCCTGTCCCAACAACCCTCTGCCTGCTTAACAATCACATCTTCCTACTTTGCTTCCTGACAGCCCTGTGCCAGGGAAACCAACCTTCCTACATTCTCAACCTCTTTACTAAATACTTCAATTCATTCTCTTGCCCCTCAGGGCTCACACATGAGCATGAGCGCATAGGACTGGGAGGTGAGGTTGATGTTCTTTTTGCTCTCCCCTGTTGCTTCTAGATGCAAATTTCTCCTTGCAGCTCTCCTCTCCTCCAACCTTCCAGTGAGCGAGTGAGACGCTCACGCGATCTGGATTTACAATCCTTCCCTTTCAGTGTTGCTGTCCTCTTGAAACGTCCATCTACTCCTCGGCTTAATCTAGAGTTTGCTACTGTTTTTCAGGGTTCCTCTAGAAAACAATCTTTGGAGTTTCACTGCTGCAGAGTGGGTGTGCTCTCTTATTATTTGAGCACCTAGCATGGCGTAGTGGTTACGTATTAGGACTGCTAATCACAAAGTCAGCAGTTCGAAACTACCAGCTGCTTCATGGGAGAAAGACCAGGCTTTCTACTCCAGGACAGAGTTATAGTCTTGGAAACCCACAGGGATAGTTCTACCCTGTCCTATAGTGTCATTCGGAGTCCTAATCAACTCGATGGCAGTGAGCGAGTTTGTGAAGTCATGGATTACAATAGAGGGACAAACAAACAACCAATGGAAACATACCTGTTTTTTAGAGCTTGGGGAGATTTACTCATCCCATAATCCCAGAGTTGCTCCACTGCGGCGACATAATAGTGTCGTGGTTCCTTTTTAAAGCTGCGAGGACCTTGCTTTTCATCCTCGTCATAAATGTCAAAGTCTTCGGTCTTCATTTCATTTGAGAGGTAATCATCATAGTCTAGTTTGTCTTGCTCTTGTAGAAAAGCTATAAGGGTTGTTTCCCTTAAATGATGGTGTTTCATGGCCAGCGGGTCTTCAGAGTCTAACTGTCCAGTCTCCCTTGGCTTTGGCCAAGCGGCTTCTGTTTGAAGCCTATCTTGTCCCTCATTGATCACTTCTAGTTTATGGTTGCTGTCACAATGGTTCAGGGGACAAAGGGTGTCTGTTGTATGAAAAGCTGTGTTTGGGGGTGACTTCTCTTGGGATTGCCACTCTTCTCTTGATGTCTGGGCAGCATACTGGTTATCCAGAGCAAGGGCACCAGGTAGCATGGGGAGAATCTTGTTAGGGTTTTCTGTTGTCCCTTTCAGAAAAGGCATGTTTCCAGGTCTGTTGCCTTCACTCAATGTAACAGCCCCCTGTGTTTTTTTACGGGAGATGTCTTGCATGAGACTCAGGTGGCCAGGAGAACCATTAGTGGGGAAAGTGTCCTCCTGATAAAGATGAATTTGAGGAAGCAATTCAACTTTTCCAGCTAGTTCAGGTTTCAAGGGAAAACTGTTGTCACGTTTCTCATGCTTGTGTGGGTCTGGGGCATTTTCTTGGCCTCTAATCGTCTCCAAAGTGAGGATAGCTGAAGAAAGGTTATTTTTTTCAACTTCTTGTAATAAGTTATTACTTTGTTGGAGACTAGAACTCTTCTCGCTAAAATTTGAATGATAGGCAGATGATAGAAACCGAGAAGAGGTGTCCTGGGATGCTATCCTGGTCAGGTCTGCAGAGCTAACTGTTGGAAGTGCCATGGGTAATGCGGAGTCATGACTTCTTAGAGAATGATCTGTGGTCATTTTCTCTTTTTCATTGTAGTGTACCTTTGTGAGGGGGCCTTGGGTCAAATTCTTCACGCTTCTTGAATGCTGGGTTGAGGTGTCATTTTCAAACTCCTTTCCTTCTAGAGAGGATCCAAATTGTCTCAAAGTCCACTTATCATGTTGAGTGATAACATTCTCCCGACTTGGATTAGAAGACATCCCTGTGGGGTTCGGATGGTTCTCAATCATTTGCTTCGTTTTATTTCTCAAGCCTTCCAAGTTTGTTTGCTCCCTCCCTTTTAGGAAGTGGGCATTGGGAAGCCCGGATCTGTTTGCTGAATTAGTCAATGACATTGTAACATTTTGCCTAGTGCTTAGTAAGAGGAGTGTCTTCAGGAAATTCTTAGCACCAGAGACTGGAACCACTGCATTCCTTTGTCTTAATGTTTCGTTACGGACCTGATTTGGGGTTTCATTTTTTTGCACGTTAGTCAAATTTGTAAAAAATAATCTACTGTTTGGAAAAATCATCTCTTGGAATCCTGTGTCTTTTGAAAATTCATCCTTTCCTGCTGCCACCTTACTTGTCTCTGACAAATTCTGATCTTTCCCAGAATTTTCTAAGCTCAAGGCTATGAGCTGCTTTGCACTGGGCCCTTTTTCTGAGCTCGAGGAGTTCCTTCCAGGGGTGCTTGTAGTCCAATGTGCTGAATCTGGGTGTTCTGCATCTGGCGACGCAAGCGCCCTTTTCATGTGGTTAACTGTTTCCTCATCTTTTGACGAAATGGTTTTATTTGATACATGATTTAACCCCAAATAGGTTGTATTTCTATCTATAAACATTTCATTATGAATCAAAGCAGTCACTTCTTGAAACTCAGTATTATTTTCTAATATTCCTGATGTAAGATTCTTAGTTACTAATGTCGGGTCATCAATGCGAGTCTTTCCATTTGTCCTTGAGTTATTGGGTGCTTTGCTTGCCTTTACTAAAGAAATATTACCTTTTAATACAGCTTCATCTTTGATCAAAGAAGCATATCCATGACCTTCATTCTCTTTAAATAAGTTACTACTCTCCATTGGTGATATCTTTTTTCCAGGTGAACTTTCTAGACTACTCCCGAAAGCTACTTGTAACAACGTAGAATCATTATCTCTTTCACTCACACGCAAAGGTACACCAGACCCAATAAGAGGAGAGGACTTGGTTTCCGGTTGACCACTAAGGTGAACTGGTGTCCTGAGGGATCCTAAGGAGTCTGTCGTTTCAGTGTCTGCTGGCAAGTTGTTTGTTGAATTTACTGGTGAAATTGCATTATTTGATGAAGTAGAAAAATTTAAATCAAGTTTCAAGTTTTCTCTGAGGGAGCTCTGATGGAGCTCTGGCTTGAGGTGTGTCACTTCAGATGGGCTCTCCTTACTTTCTCTTCTTTCCGGGGAAAGGTCATCAGGAATAGTCTCATAGTTAGCTTCTTGGATACCAGATGAGGATAAGCCATGTGGAGCAGTGCTCTGTCCCAAAAGCAGCAACGAATCACTAGAGAAGAGATTTTGTGTCTTAAGCAGCTGTGTTTTCTCTCCAAACTGAGGGTCGAGATTCTCTAGGTCATATTCTGGAATGGTGGTGGCCTCGATTTGATTTTGTCTAGAGTTAAGATTCCTTGAACTCCTGGAAAAGGCTCTAGGTTCAATGATACTATTTTCAGTCAGCAAATTGATTGGAATATCTTCATATATGTTTTCATATTCATCTATGTTCTTGTCGCAACTAGAAACGTTCAGTAAGGCTGTCATGCCTCTGTTTCGAAACTCTGAGTTGTGGCACCCGAGAACCCAAAGACCTGGAGACAAGGGAGAACAAGACTCGGGTTACTCATCACCCAAATTCTTTGTTCCCAGGTCATCCCCATTCCCTAAGCCGTGCCATTATGTCATAGGCCAGAGGATTAAATGCCTGACATGGGTGGCAGGAGTCCAACAATGGTAGTGAACGGTGTTTGGTTTGGTTGGGTTTGCAATGCTTCACTTGTGTTCTACCTTTTTGTGACCCCAAGGAAGGACTGTGATGAAAAAGAACAGATATTGAAATCAGAATGTAGAAATGTAATGAATATATGCAGTAGTGGAGAGTTTTATTAGTCTCCCAGGACTCTTGGATGATGACTAATTCAGGGAAGTTTTCACATAGGATGGATGTGACTGCTGTGTATCATAGGCTGTCTGGTTCACATGCTAGCTGTACCATCTACTGGCTGTATTTCTTTAGGCAAGTCACATAAGGTCGTGGCACTCCAATTTTCTAATTTGTAAGTGAATCTACTAGTATCTACCAGGATATAGGGGATTCAAATCACGTATCACAATGCTAGGATTCACCTTCACCAGTTTGCAGCATAAGTAAGTGTGAGGGAGCCCGTTAGGTCTAGGATCCAACTAACACAAAACACTCACCACAGTAATAATTTCTACTATGAAAAGGATTATCTGAGTAAAATAATACAATGAATTACAATATGCCAATTCCACATTGGTAAGGTAAATCTGTAAGCATAAGCTTTCTTCTGAGGGAAGCCTTTCCTAACAGTACGAGGGGGCATCCACCCCCCAAAAAAGGAAAAAAGATCCACTGGGTGGAGCTTTTGTGAAATGCATTTTTCCCATTAGGCGAGCATTGAGCAACTCGCTCTGGGTTAATGCACCACGTGGCATCACCTGGGACGGTTCTCTCTGGTCACAGTGAATTTTTTCATGAAAGCAGATTCGCTGGAACCTCGTTTTTGTGATGGCTAATTTAAGGGAACAGTGTTTGGCTGTAAAATTTTGTTTCCTGCTCGGGAAAAATGCCGCAGAAATTGTTGTAATGTTGAACACAGCTTACAAGGACAGCGCTATGGGAAAAACTCAAGTGTACGAGTGGTTTTCTTGTTTCAAAACAAGTGAAATGTCGATTGATGACCAACTTCCTTCTGGACATCCGTCAGCTTCCCGAACAGAAGAAAATGTCAACTTACAGTGCATTTGGAGTTCGTTCCACCAGATCAGACTGTTAATCAAGCTTTCTCTTTAGAGGTTGTGAAAAGACTGCATAACAGTGTGCGACAAAGAAGGCCTGACTTGTGGCAGACGGGGGACTGTTTTTGCCACCACGACAATGCACCTGCTCACACAGCCATTTCAGTGTGCCAGTTTGGGGCAAAAAACAGCATGTCTCACTTGACCCCCACACCTGACTCACTTGACTTGGCTCCATGCGACTTTTTTTGTGTTTCCACGCATGCAGAGAGGCATGGAAGGACAGTGATTTGACGACATAGAAGAGGTGAAGACAAAAACGAGGGAAGTGCTGTCAGCCATCCAAACAGGTGAGTTTGAAAAATGTTTCCAAGAATGGAATTGCAGATATGACAAATGTATTAATGTAATGGAGAGTATGCTGAAGGTGATAAGATTGTTTTGTAAAACTAAAACAATTAAATACATAACTTAAAAAACTCTGTGAGATAACGGGATGCCCATTGAAAAAGGTCTTCGTGGTTCAATAAATATTAGAATCATTGAACATTCTATCCAACTGGAAACTCTATGTTGAGCCAAATTAGCAATTAAAAGAAAAAAGAAATGATTGAAATATTGAATTGTATGGTATGTGGATTAAGTGCCAATAAAAATGTAAAAATGAAGTTCTTCATTGCAAAAAGATCTTTTCTAACCTGCAAAGTCTCATAAAATCTACCTCTATTGCAGTTATTCTCAAAATATCATTACAAAAAGTTATCCACTGAAATAAAGGAGTTTATATTGTTTTAACTGAAATCATGGGTTGCAAGAGCCAGGTACCTATCCCGAGGAAGGGTGAACAAAGTCCCAAGTTGATAGCAGAGCCTGAGATATACAGAGAACCAGCCAGGATTAGAGTAGCAACACACTTATTTCTAGAAAGGCAGTTTCCTAACAAAGAATAACATGGTCTATGATAGATCTCTTGGGGGGGGGGGGGAGGAAGATGATAACTAAGAGAACAGAAGAACAATTAGAAGTTCCAGTTAAACATGTTCTGAAACAAACAAACAAAATATAATCCTATTGGTTCCAAGGTGAAGAACAGTTGCAGCATTACAAAAATGTGATTTTACTAAAAATAGGGGCATAACTATATCATACTTTGGGGACTGCCAGCCTTATTTCATGTGATTTCAAGCACAATTTTGATAGTGAGACCCCTATTGGGTCAGGGTAGACCAGTATTGGAGCAGAAATGAATAGTTTTTAAGTAAGACTTTGACTCTTAAAATTTGAAATAATTGAGATCAAAGGAATCTTCCCCTTTTCCCCCTAAGGAGGGCAGTGCATCTCATCATTCCCCCTAAGATCAGAAAAAGGAAAATGAGCTTTCAGAAAAAACATGGAGTGACATACACCAAGTTGGTAATAGGATTTAACTCTGGAATTGGGAATGATAGATACAAATATCACTGAATTTTTGCAATCAAAACATCTCATTGTATTATAGTGTAACAGACAAAACAACACACTTTCACTATCACTAACAAACTGAAAACAGACAGATTAAAGAAGAGTTAATTCTATGATGAAAACTCAACAAAATAATCAATTTAAATATAAGAAACTCCGATATACAAAATTTATAATAAGGGGACTATAATCACAGATATAAAGGAAACTAAAAGAATTATAATCCTTTAGAAACTCCTTTTCCAATTTGCTCCTTCAACTCCTGACATGTGGCCAACCTTCTGCCTCGGTGATTTAATCATTGCTTCCCAAAAACTACAATTATGGAACTAGCTGCTATCAAACTAACCCAGAGTAACTCAGCTGGTCACAACAGACCAAGCTCTTTACCCAGTCAATGCTCCTACAATATTCCTAGTATGGAATATTAAGCAACCTCTCTAAATGATGAGATGCAACTGTCCTTATTGGCATAGAAAAATACCAAATACTTTAAGTGAGGAAAAGCAGGTATCAAAAGACACAGAATGGAAGCCCACGGCCTGTAGATTTCATGACGATTGTACAACATTGAGAATGTACTAGAAGCCATGGAATCATGCACTTCCAAATGGTGAATGTTCGTTGTTGTTGGGTGCTGTTGAGTCCGTTTCTGACTCATAGCAACTCTATGTTCAACAGCACAAAACACTGCCCTGTCCTGCTCTATCCTCACAGTAGTTGCGATGGTTGAGCCCATTGTTGCAGCCACTGTGTCTACCGATCTTGTCAAGGACCTGTCTCTTGTTTCGAAGAACATTGCAACTTTCTCATGTGGAGAAGCTAATGGGTTCCAACAGCTGACCTTTCAGTGAACAGACAAATGCCTTCCCCTGGGATACCCCAGGGAACGTGTGATTGTTGTAGGTAGGTTCCAGCCACTGAATTCTGACTCAGAGCCACCCGACGTACAGCACAATGAAGCACTGCTCCGTCCTGAGCTGTCCTCACAGGTGTTCTTCTGCTCGAGTTCATTGTTGCAGTCACTGCATTAATCCATCTCTGGAAGGATCTGCTTCTTCTTTGCTGACCCTCTACTTTACCAGGCAGGACTGGACCCACTTGAAAATGTATCCGAAGTATGTAAGTAGTAAGTGTTGTCACCCTCATGCCTAGAGTGCACGCTACCTTCTTTCAAGACAGATTTGTTCATTCTTCTGGCAGTCCACGGCCTATCTGATATTCTTCCCCAGCAGCAGAGTGCAGACGTATCCATAGTGAAGGATGTAGTCTTTGATGTTCATCAGTAAAGTCCTGCTCACTTTCAGCAAGCAAGGTTGTGTGGTCTGCGTGTCACAGGTTGCTAAGGAGTCTTCCTCCAAGGTTATCCATAGTTTGTCATGATCCTCACAGCCGAATGTCTTCAGAGAGTCAATAAAACACAATCAAATCATCTTCTTTTATCCTCAGCCAAGATCCATCTGACATCAGCAATAATATCCCTTGTTCCACACCCTTTTCAGAATCCGGCCTGAACCTCGGGCAGCTCCCTATTGATGTAGTGCTACAACTGTTCTGAATTCTCTTTAGCAATATTTTACTTGCATGTGATATGGATGATATGGTTCCATGATTTCTGCATTAGACTTAGTCACTTTTCTTTTTGGAATAAGTACGAATATGGATCTCTTCCAGTCAGTTGGCCGGGTAGCTGTCTTCCAAATTTCTTGGCATAGGCCAGTGAGTGCTTCTAGTACTTCATCAGCTTGTTGCAACATTGGAATTCCATCGATTCCTGGAGCCTTCAGTTTGATTTGGAATTCTACATTTAGTATCATTAGTTCTTAATCATATGCTACCTCCTGAAATGGTTACATGTCAACCAGTTATACTTGATGTTTCTTGCATCATTCGATATTTTGTCCATGTCGTTATTGTCATTAGGTGCCATAGAGTCAGTTCCAACCCATAGTGACCCTATGCACAGCAGAATGAAGCCTTACCCTGTCCTGCATCATCCTCACCATTGTTGTTCTGTTCGAACCCATTGATGCAGCCACTGTGTCCATCCATCTCATTGAGGGCCTTCCTCTTTATCTCTGCCCCTCTAACTTACCAAGTACGATGTCCTTCTCCACGGACTAGGCTGTCCTGATAACACGTCCAAAGGACGTAAGAAAGAGTCTCACCATCCTTGCCTCTGAGGAGCATTCTGGCCATACTTCTTGGAGACAGGATGGTTTGTCCTTTTGGCAGTCGCTGGTGAGCCAGCACCTTCTTCTCCAGCACATGCAAATGCATCAATTCTTCTCTGATCTTCCCTATTCAATGTCCACGTTCACAGACACACCTTGGTCCTCAAATTGCCATCCTTACTGTTCAACATTTT